GAATTGTTACTGAGGGACACAGAAACCGTTACTTAGGGCCACAGAAACGTTACTTAGGACCACAGAATTGTTACTTAGGGGACCACAGAATTGTTACTGAGGGACACAGAATTGTTACTTAGGGCCACAGAATTGTTACTGAGGGCCACAGAATTGTTACTTAGGGGGCCACAGAAACGTTACTTAGGGCCACAGAATCGTTACTTAGGGCCACAGAAATGTTACTTAGGGCCACAGAAACTTTACTTAGGGCCACAGAATTGTTACTTAGGGACAGACACAGAATTGTTACTGAGGGACACACAGAATTGTTACTGGAGGGCCACAGAACCGTTACTTAGGGCCACAGAAACGTTACTTAGGGGACACACAGAATTGTTTACTCAGGGACAGACACAGAATTGTTACTGAGAGGGATACAGAATTGTTACTGAGGGACACAGAAACGTTACTTAGGGCCACAGAAACGTTACTTAGGGCCACACGTTACTTAATTGTTACTTTAGGGACAGACACAGAATTGTTACTGAGGGACACAGAATTGTTACTGAGGGCCACAGAACCGTTACTTAGGGCCACAGAAACGTTACTTAGGGACACAGAAACGTTACTTAGGGCCACAGAAACGTGTTACTTAGGGCCACAGAAACGTTACTTAGGGCCACAGAAACTGTTACTTAGGGCCACAGAATTGTTACTTAGGGCCACAGAACCGTTACTTAGGGACACAGAATTGTTACTCAGGGACAGACACAGAATTGTTACTGAGGGATACAGAATTGTTACTGAGGGACACAGAAACGTTACTTAGGGCCACAGAAACGTTACTTAGGGCCACAGAAACGTTACTTAGGGCCACAGAATTGTTACTTAGGGACAGACACAGAATTGTTACTGAGGGACACAGACACAGAATTGTTACTGAGGGCCACAGAACCGTTACTTAGGGCCACAGAACCGTTACTTAGGGACACAGAATTGTTACTCAGGACAGACACAGAATTGTTACTGAGGGAGACACAGAATTGTTACTGAGGAGGGACACAGAACCGTTACTTAGGGCCACAGAAATTGTTACTTAGGGCCACAGAATTGTTACTTAGGCCACAGAAACGTTACTTAGGGCACAGAAACGTTACACAGGGCCACAGAAACGTTACTTAGGGACACAGAACGTTACTTAGGGCCACAGAATTGTTACTTAGGGCCACAGAATTGTTACTTAGGGACACAGAACACAGAATTGTTACTTAGGGACACAGAATTGTTACTCAGGGACAGACACAGAATTGTTACTCAGAGGGACACAGAATTGTTTACTCAGGGACACAGAATTGTTACTGAGGGACACAGAATTGTTACTCAGGGACACAGAATTGTTACTGAGGGCCACAGAATTGTTTACTGAGGGCCACAGAATTGTTACTGAAGGCCACAGAACTGTTACTTAGGGCACACAGAAACGTTACTCAGGGACACAGAGAATTGTTACTCAGGGACAGACACAGAATTGTTACTCAGGGACACAGAATCGTTTAATTAAAGAGTATGTCAGTCAGACAACATGCAGAGGAGTGGCAGAGGATGCAATGTTTTAGGAGAGCAGAGCGTTACGTGGCAGCAGAGGAAGGGGTCGAGGCAGCACTATTCGCAGCCAGAGGCCAGTGCTCCCGGTGTCATCCAGCGGTCGTGTCTCCACCAACAACCCTGCCGTCATCGATTGGTTGGCTTGGGGTCGTCTTCCTCTTCCCAGGTCACCTCTGACACCTACAGCCAACGGTCGTGGTGGGTACGTCAGACACAACCGTTAGTTGGCATGGCCCGGGAGCAAGCCCACTGAAATCACGTGTCCTCTACCTGCCCCTGTCCTTTGGTGTTCCCTCACCAAGCGAAGTATCGCATGCTGTGGGCTCAGCCCCACTGTACAGTGAGGAGAGAGCTAACAGAGGGCGGTCAGGAACGGGGGGAGACATCCGCCTCTTCTTCAGCAGCCAGGCGAAGAAGTATAGTGGCGAGAGAGAGTGGCTCGGTAGCCGGTCTAGAGACAGGTCTGTCTCCTGACCCACACGCAGCCGAGGGGGCTAGTAGTGAGGCGGCGAGACCCTAATTGATGATGAGGAGGCTGATCGCACTTTGGCAGCCTCGTCGTCATCAGGCTATTGCTGCTTCCGCATCATCAGGAGAAGAGGGTGGCAGCTTGGCAGCGAGCAAAACAGTCGGTGGGTTGCCCAGGAGGCAGCAGGTCGCAGCAGTGTCAGTGGAGGCAAACGGCCACGGAGTACAGCACCAGCTCCACTGCAGCCTACCACCACGGCCAGTAGTGGTGCCGGTGTGCACGGAGAAGAAGCAGCAGTCAGCCAGTGAGGAGTAGTATCGGGGGCAAAGTTTCCTACTCGGCGGTGTGGCAATTTTTTGTCAAGCCGCCCGAGGAAGTAAACGTAGCCGTATGTCGACTATGTGGCCAGAAAGTCAAGCGTGGCCAGGGGCCCATGTTGGGACTACAGCGTTGCGGCAGCATATGCAGCGTCGCCATTTTGGTGGCCTGGGAAAACCGTGATAAAGATACGGCGGTTTCTGCCCGCCCCAGCCCCCGCTCCATCATCACCCCGCTCCGTTACTTGCTCCGTCACCCGACGTCAATCGCCCTCTATCAGCCAGTCAAGGCTCCAACACCTCTGCTGAGGGGAGTTGTCGCTCGTTGCCATCTTCCGCTCGTTCAGATGCTCCTTCTCCTGCTACTCCTCTTCACGGATTCCGTCAGCAGTCTTTCTTGGAATCCGTTTTCCAAGAGACAACAGTTTGCGAGCACGCACCCGACGGTGCAAAAAGCTGAACGTCCTCCTGTCCAAGTTGCTGGTGCTGCAGTCCCTCCCTTTCCAAGTGGTGGACTCAGCACCTTTCCGAGAAATGATGGCTTTGTGCCGCGCCGCGGTGGAGAGTGCCAAGCCGTCATTTCTTCGCCAAAAAGGCAGTGTGCCAGCCCTGCATTCACATGTAGAAGAGATGGTGGGCCAGTCTTTGAGCATGTCGGGTCTCTGCCAAAGTGCACGGCAGCGCCGACGTGTGTGAGAGCTGTAACTACGGTCAGGGACAGTACATGTCATTTACGGCCCACTGGGTGAACGTGGTGCCGGCACAGCCGCACCAGCAACTTGGACAGGTCACGCCACGCTTTTGCCTCCACGTTTGCACGTCCTTGGTCCACAAAAGATGTCCGCCTCTACCACCTCTTCTTCGCTTCGTGTCCTCAGCCGCCACCCACCCATCGCCCCCCGTGCCAAGTCCCATTACCCGACCGGCATATCACATGTGCAGGGCGCAACGGTGTCACGCTGTGCTGCACCTGGTATGCCTTGGCGAACGTAGTTCACACAGGGGAGGAACTTCTGAGTGTAATGAACAGAGAAATCGACAGATGGCTGTCTCCGCGCAAACTGAAAATCGGAACCATGTTGACCGACAACGGAAAGAACATGGTGTCTGCTCTGCGTCAAGGAAGGTTGTGCCATGCGCCATGCATGGCTCACGTGTTCAATCTGGTTGTCAAGCGGTTCCTAAAATCCACCATCCCACTGCAAGACATCCTTAAAATGTCACGTAAACTTTGCATGCATTTCAGCCATTCCTACACCGCAAAGCACACCCTCCTTGAGCTGCAGCGGCAGAACGGAATTCCACAGCATCGCCTGATCTGCGACGTTGCAACAAGGTGGAATTCAACCCTACACATGTTAGACCGCCTTTACGAACAGCGAAAGGCCATCACCGATTTCCTGATGTTACAAGCGGATAAAGGTACTCCCCTGTGTAACTTCGATGTCAGCCATTGGCAGCTCATGCGTGACACCTGCCGCTTGCTCAGGCCCTTTGAGGAGGCCACGCTATTCGTGAGTCGGCAGGACTATGGGATGAACGACGTCATTCCTCTGTTGCACGTCCTGGAACAAATGCTGTTAACAATGGCTGGTCAGGGTGCGGTAGACGTGGCGCACAGATCTCAACGCCACATGACCCCTGTGGGGGCAGGACAGGAAGAAGAGAGGAGGAGGTAGAGGAGGACATTGTGCTCAGGAATTATTGAGTGAAATGGGTGGGTGGTTTTTCCACTCAGCGGACAGGAGTGGAGGAGCAGGAGCATCTGGTAGAGGAGGAGGAGGAGGAGACAGAGGACCCAGACGCACCGTGGCAGTATGCTGTGGAGATGGAGGCAGGGAGTCCCTCGCATTCCTTGGCACAAATGGCCCATAGCATGCTCGGTTGCTTTGCGTAGCGACAGCCGAATAATAACCATCAGACAGAGGGATGACTTTTGGCTGTCCACCTTGTTGGACCCTCGCTACCGTTCAAAAATGGTGGCCTTTTTCACACCTGCTGAGAGGGAGGCCAAAATAACGTACTATAAAAACCACCTATGTAGTCAGTTGGTCTCTGCCTTTGTGCGCGCCAACGTCCATCCTCAGACACTGTGGGCCCTGTGCGCTCGCTCGCGTTCCGCTGCCCGCTGCCATGGCAGCAGGGGAGGGGTGGGGTGGTAGGAGCAGTGGTAGCTCCACCAGCAGCGGCTGCCTCAGTCTGCAGTCGATGATGAGTAGCTTTCTTCACCAGCGCAGTGAGGAAACTACTAAACCAGCCGCAGCAGCAGCAGCATCAGGTGGACCCTGGAGCAGGACCTCAAACAACAGGCTTGGGCCTACTTGGACAGCACCCTGCCAACCGAGGTAGACAATCCCCTTGACTACTGGGCAACGAAACTTGACCTTTGGCCCCAACTAGCTGAATTTGCCCTTGAAAGGCTGTCATGCCCGGCCAGTAGCGTGGCATCGGAGCGCGTGTTTAGTGCGGCAGGAGGTATTGTAAACTCCGCGGAGGACACGACTGTCCACCCAAAGTGTGGAGAGACTCACGTTTGTGAAAATGAATCAGCGTGGATTAGTCTGGATTTCAAACCACCAGTTCCTGACACAACTGACTAAATCCGCCATGAATCATGCCCCTGCCATGTGCCACTTTCAGGTCTCCTCACACTGCTGGTGTGTTCCATTTTTTGTCATAGGGTGCTGGCAGATTACGGGCCTCCCATAGCTGCTGCCAGGCCCCTAATCTGCCATGGGCCCCCTATACCGCCTCCTCATGCTGCTGCCAAGGTCCAGAGTCTCTCATGGGTCCCTGTACGGCCTCCCATTGCTGCTGTCTCCATCGCCACACTCTGCCATGTGCCACTTTCAGGTCTCCTCACACACTGCTGGTGTGTTCAATTTTTTGTCATAGGGTGCTGGCAGATTACGGGCCTCCCATAGCTGCTGCCAGGCCCCTAATCTGCCATCTGCCATGCTGCTGGGTCCCCCTCATGGGTCCCTACCGCCTCCTCATGCTGCTGCTGTCTCCATCGTCCACAGTGTCTCATGCCATGTGCCACTTTCAGGTCTCCTCACACTGCTGGTGTGTTCATTTTTTGACATAGGGTGCTGGCAGATTACGGACCTCCCATAGCTAGCTGCTGCCAGGCCCCTAATCTGCCATGGGCCCCTGTATACCGCCTCCTCATGCTGCTGCCAGTCCAGAGTGTCTCTCAGGGTCCCTCACGGCCTCCCATGTGCCACACTCTGCCAGTGTCAGGTCTCCTCACACTGCTGGTGTGTTCAATTTTTTGTCATAGGGTGCTGGCAGATTACGGGCCTCCCATAGCTGCTGCCAGGCCCCTAATCTGCCATGGGCCCCTATATACCGCCTCCTCATGCTGCTGCCAAGTCCAGAGTCTCTCATGGGTCCCTGTACGGCCTCCCATTGCTGCTGCTGTCTCCATCGCCACACTCTGCCATGTGCCACTTTCAGGTCTCCTCACACTGCTGCTGGTGTGTTCAATTTTTTGACATAGGGGGTGCTGGCAGATTACGGGCCCTCCCATAGCTGCTGCCAGGCCCCTAATCTGCCATGGGCCCCTATACCGCCTCCTCATGCTGCTGCCAGGTCCAGAGTGTCTCATGGGTCCCTGTACGGCCTCCCATTGCTGCTGCTGTCTCCATCGCCACACTCTGCCATGTGCCACTTTCAGGTCTCCTCACACACTGCTGGTGTGTTCAATTTTTTGTCATAGGGTGCTGCTGGCAGATTACGGGCCTCCCATAGCTGCTGCCAGGCCCCTAATCTGCCATGGGCCCCCTATACCGCCTCCTCATGCTGCTGCCAGGTCCAGAGAGTCTCTCATGGGTCCCTGTACGGCCTCCCATTGCTGCTGTCTCCATCGCCACACTCTGCCATGTGCCACTTTCAGGTCTCCTCACACTGCTGGTGTGTTCCATTTTTTGTCATAGGGTGCTGGCAGATTACGGGCCTCCCATAGCTGCTGCCAGGCCCCTAATCTGCCATGGGCCCCCTGTACCGCCTCCTCATGCTGCCTGCCAGGTCCAGTCTCCAGTGTCTCTCATGGGTCCCTGTACGGCCTCCCATTGCTGTCTCCATCGCCACACTCTGCCATGTGCCACTTTCAGGTCTCCTCACACTGCTGGTGTGTTCCATTTTTTGTCATAGGGTGCTGGCAGATTACGGGCCTCCCATCCCATAGCTGCTGCCAGGCCCCTAATCTGCCATGGGCCCCTATACCGCCTCCTCATGCTGCTGCCTGCCAGGTCCAGAGTCTCTCATGGGTCCCTGTACGGCCTCCCATTGCTGCTGTCTCCATCGCCACACACTCATGTGCCACTGTGCCACTTTCAGGTCTCCTCACACACTGCTGGTGTGTTCAATTTTTTGTCATAGGGTGCTGGCAGATTACGGGCCTCCCATAGCTGCTGCCAGGCCCCTAATCTGCCATGGGCCCCTGTACCGCCTCCTCATGCTGCTGCCAGTCCAGAGCTCATGTCCCTGTACTGCCATTGCTGGTCTCCATCGTGTCTCTGCCATGTGCCACTTTCAGGTCTCCTCACACTGCTGGTGTGTTCCATTTTTTGTCATAGGGTGCTGGCAGATTACGGGCCTCCCATAGCTGCTGCCAGGCCCCTAATCTGCCATGGGCCCCTGTACCGCCTCCTCCTCTGCTGCCAGGTCCCAGTGTCTCATGCCATGTGCCACATTCAGGTCTCCTCATGTGCCACTTTCAGGTCTGCTGGTGTGTTCAATTTTTTGACATAGGGTGCTGGCAGATTACGGGCCTCCCATAGCTGCTGCCAGGCCCCTAATCTGCCATGGGCCCCTATACCGCCTCCTCATGCTGCTGCCAGGTCCAGAGTCTCTCATGGGTCCCTGTACGGCCTCCCATTGCTGCTGTCTCCATCGCCACACTCTCTGCCATGTGCCACTTTCAGGTCTCCTCACACACTGCTGGTGTGTTCAATTTTTTGTCATAGGGTGCTGGCAGATTACGGGCCTCCCATAGCTGCTGCCAGGCCCCTAATCTGCCATGGGCCCCTGTACCGCCTCCTCTCTGCTGCTGCCAGGTGCAGTGTCTCATGGGTCCACGGCCTCCCATTGCTGCTGTCTCTCACTCTGCCATGTGCCACTTTCAGGTCTCCTCACACTGCTGGTGTGTTTTTTGACATAGGGTGCTGGCAGATTACGGGCCTCCCATAGCTGCTGCCAGGCCCCTAATCTGCCATGGGCCCCTGTACCGCCTCCTCGCTGCCCCATGCTGCTGCCAGATTCACAGTGTCTCATTGCTGCTCATCTGCCATGTGCCCTTTCAGGTCTCCTCACACTGCTGGTGTGTTCAATTTTTTGACATAGGGTGCTGGCAGATTACGGGCCTCCCATAGCTGCTGCCAGGCCCCTAATCTGCCATGGGCCCCCTATACCGCCTCGCCTCCTCATGCTGCTGCTGCCAGGTCCAGAGAGTCTCTCATGGGTCCCCCTGTACGGCCTCCCATTGCTGCTGTCTCCATCGCCACACTCTGCCATGTGCCACTTTCAGGTCTCCACACACTGCTGGTGTGTTCCAATTTTTTGACATAGGGTGCTGGCAGATTACGGGCCTCCCATAGCTGCTGCCAGGCCCCTAATCTGCCATGGGCCCCTGTATACCCGCCTCCCTCATGCTGCTGCCAGCCAGTCCAGAGTCTCTCATGGGTCCCCTGTACGGTCCCTGGGTCCCTGTACGGCCCCCATTGCTGCTGTCTCCATCGCCACACTCTGCCATGTGCCACTTTCAGGGTCTCCTCACACACACTGCTGGTGTGTTCAATTTTTTTTGTCATAGGGTGCTGCTGGCAGATTACGGGCCTCCCCATAGCTGCTGCCAGGCCCCTAATCTGCCATGGGCCCCTATACAACCTCCTCTCATGCTGCTGCCAGGTCCTCAGAGAGTCTCTCATAGGTCCCTTACGGGCCTCACACCCATTGCTGCTGTCTCCATCGCCACACTCTGCCATGTGCCACTTTCAGGTCTCCCACACACTGCTGGTGTGTTCCAATTTTTTGTCATAGGGTGCTGGCAGATTACGGGCCTCCCATAGCTGCTGCCAGGCCCCTAATCTGCCATGGGCCCCTGTAACCACCGCCTCCTCATCTGCTGCCGTCCAGAGTCCTCATGCTGCTGCCAGGTCCACAGTGTCTCATGCCATGTGCCACTTTCAGGTCTCTCACACACACTGCTGGTGTGTTCAATTTTTTGACATAGGGTGCTGGCAGATTACGGGCCTCCCATAGCTGCTGCCAGGCCCCTAATCTGCCATGGGCCCCTATATACCGCCCTCCATGCCTCATGCTGCTGCCAAGTCCAGAGTCTCTCATGGGTCCCTGTACGGCCTCCCATTGCTGCTGTCTCCATCGCCACACTCTGCCATGTGCCACTTTCAGGTCTCCTCACACACTGGCTGCTGTGTGTGTTCAATTTTTTGTCATAGGGTGCTGGCAGATTACGGGCCTCCCATAGCTGCTGCCAGGCCCCTAATCTGCCATGGGCCCCTGTACTACGCCTCCTCATGCTGCTGCCAGGTCCACAGTGTCTCATGGGTCCATGTGCCCACATTGCTGCAGGTCTCATCCTCACACTCTGCCATGTGCCACTTTCAGGTCTCCTCACACTGCTGGTGTGTTCCATTTTTTGTCATAGGTACGGGCAGATTACGGGCCTCCCATAGCTGCTGCCAGGCCCCTAATCTGCCATGGGCCCCTATACCGCCTCCTCATGCTGCTGCCAGGTCCAGAGTCTCTCATGGGTCCCTGTACGGCCTCCCATTGCTGCTGTCTCCATCGCCACACTCTGCCATGTGCCACTTTCAGGTCTCCTCACACTGCTGGTGTGTTCCATTTTTTGTCATAGGGTGCTGGCAGATTACGGGCCTCCCATAGCTGCTGCCAGGCCCCTAATCTGCCATGGCCCCTGTACCCGCCCCTCATGCTGCTGCCAGGTCCTCTCTCATGCTGTCCTGCCAGGCCTCCCATTGCACTGTCTCCATCGCCATGCCATGTGCCACTTTCAGGTCTCCTCACACTGCTGGTGTGTTCCATTTTTTTTGTCATAGGGTGCTGGCAGATTACGGGCCCCCATAGCTGCTGCCAGGCCCCTAATCTGCCATGGGCCCCTATACCGCCCGCCTCCATCATGCTGCTGCCAAGGTCCAGAGTCTCTCATGGGTCCCCCTGTACGGGCCTCCCATTGCTGCTGTGTCTCCATCGCCACACTCTGCCATGTGCCACTTTCAGGTCTCCTCACACACTGCTGGTGTGTTCCAATTTTTTGTCATAGGGTGTGCTGGCAGATTACGGGCCTCCCATAGCTGCTGCCAGGCCCCGTAAATCTGCCATGGGGCCCCTATATACCGCCTCCTCATATGCTGCTGCCAGGTCCAGAGTCTCTCATGGGTCCCCTGTGTACGGCCTCCCATTATGCTGCTGTCTCGCCCATCGCCACACTCTGCCATGTGCCACTTTCAGGTCTCCTCCTCACACTGCTGGTGTGTTCCATTCAATTTTTTGACATAGGGGTGCTGGCAGATTACGGGCCTCCCATAGCTGCTGCCAGGCCCCTAATCTGCCATGGGCCCCTAGTATACCGCCTCCTCATGCTGCTGCCAAGCCCAGAGTCTCTCAGGGGTCCCTGTACGGCCTCCCATTGCTGCTGCCATGTCCATCGTCGCCACTCTGCCACTCTGCCATGTGCCACACTTTCAGGTCTCCTCACACACTGCTGTGTGTGTTCCAATTTTTTTGTGACATAGGGGTGCTGGCAGATTACGGGCCTCCCATATGCTGCTGCCAGGCCCCTAATCTGCCATGGGCCCCTATACCGCCTCCTCATGCTGCTGCCAAGTCCAGAGTCTCTCATGGGTCCCTGTACGGCCTCCCATTGCTGCTGTCTCCATCGCCACACACTCTGCCATGTGCCACTTTCAGGTCTCCTCACACACTGCTGGTGTGTTCAATTTTTTGACATAGGGTGCTGGCAGATTACGGGCCTCCATATAGCTGCTGCCAGGCCCCTAATCTGCCATGGGCCCCTATACCGCCTCCTCATGCTGCTGCCAGGTCCAGAGTGTCTCTCATGGGTCCCCTGTACGGCCTCCCATTGCTGCTGTCTCCATCGCCACACTCTGCCATGTGCCACTTTCAGGTCTCCTCACACACTGCTGGTGGTGTGTTCAATTTTTTTGACATAGGGTGCTGGCAGATTACGGGCCTCCCATAGCTGCTGCCAGGCCCCTAATCTGCCATGGGCCCCTGTACACTCCCTGCATGCTGCCTCATGCTCTGCTGCCAGGTCCACATTGTGTCTCATGCCACTCTGCCATGTGCCACTTTCAGGTCTCCTCACACACTGTGGTGTGTTCAATTTTTTGTCATAGGGTGCTGGCAGATTACGGGCCTCCCATAGCTGCTGCCAGGCCCCTAATCTGCCATGGGCCCCTATTACCGCCTCCTCATGCTGCTGCCAGGTCCAG